GTCTGTAATAGTTACTCAAACATTTAATATACATCAGTGATAAGTATTTTCTTTTCTGCCACAAATAGTCAATTTTGGAGAAGAGAAAAATTTGCCAAAAATCCAGGTTGCAAAATAGATATAAATACGGATATCAAGAGAATATACCTAGCTCAGGGTTGAACTGCAGTCTTTAATGCTCTCTGAGCTTGGTTGTTTGTTTGCAGATGTCTCATTAACCAATTAGGTAACATTATCAGTGTCAGTACCTAGTGCATTGATGGTTTTACCCAATTGGGCAATGAAACAAACAACCAAGTTCAGACGGCACCAAAGATTCCACAATAAGCTTTATTGCAGTCCTATATGACGCTCAAGAATGACATTTTCATTTCATTGGTTTCTTTAAAATTCTATTTCTAACATACTTTCAATTTCATCTTTTCTTCATTGGACTTTTTTTCTTGAATTCTTTCTACACACATTTTTGTAAACTACAGGCTAAAAGCTATTTCTCTGCTCAAAGCATTGAATCTTTTATCATGATTTATATCCCTTTGCACAACTCCTATACTGAGGGCTGGGGGGGGGAGAAATGGGCTTGTTAAAAACCACAAGCCAAAAATATAAGTCATATAATATTGCAAGTGCAAACACTAACTTTAAAATTAATAATATTCAAAACAAGTACATACCAAAATTGGTACAATTCATTCTAATAGAATATCTGACAGAGTAAGCAAAAGAAAAAGATGTAAATGTGCGATACAATTTTTAGAGAAAGGCAAAATTCTCTACCACGTATTTCAGAAAAAGACAACAGCAGTTTATCCTGTGATTCACCTTACAAGAAATCAACAGGAACATAAACATATGCTACTAGCTCATAAGAACTAAAACATATTTTTTAAAAATATCAAATCAGTAACAGTTATGTCTCAGAACAAATTTTGAACAAAAGATTAATTTACTCCCTAACTGAAATTTAGCTGTTAAAAATCTAAACCACAAAGTAGAAACCACAATTACTATTAATTCAATATTCAGTGGTTAAAAATGAATACATATAGAATTTAAAGGATTGGCACTCTGTTTCACTGAAGGACATTTTAACTATCATCATGAAGTTCGGTCATAGCTATTTAAAAATAATTTAAAAGAATTACAAATACAAATAAAAACAGTGTATTCCTTAGTTCTTGGTATTTCTTTCCATATATTAAAATATAATTTTTAAAAAATCTTGTTTTTTCCTTGATTTATTGCTTTAATATATTGTAATCAACCATAGTTACCTCAATAATTGAAGTGGCTTATAAACTGAATAAATACTAAATAAATAATGGGCTTTACTTCTATTAACAATTTATTTTAAAAATTAAAATACAATGTTCTGCGCAATGCAATATCAGAGTAACACTTTTGGATTTTATTGAGAATTCTAATATGAGCAATCTGACATTTATTCTATAGATACATTTTTATCAATTATTAAATACTAATAATTATATAAAGTATAATGAAACTAGTAACTCATTTTAATATATTTAGATCTTTTACTTGTAAATGAGCTGAACACATATGTTTAGAGTCATAATAATAATAAACTGCCAAGATCTTGTCATAAGCCATGAATGATTAAAACTAGAACATTACTATTTGCCATCTTAATTTATATTATGGACTGTGTGTAACCATATTACTACCAGTGTTTTAATTTATTCAGTTCAATTACCAGTGTCTGAAAAGAAAATACACAGCTTTGCTTTCAGCTCATTGCCTCTATCCCTGTAGTTTAATCCATATCCAAAATATTCCCTAAAATACTATCAGCATATGCATCTTTTGCATAAATAAATTTATAAATCTTTCAACTGTCTGTTTTGTAACACTTTTAGGCATCACACCTTTCTTACTATTTGATGTTATTTTAATGATTTTTTTTACATTTTATGGTGTTTTTTAAACATGTAAATCCTCTGGGGAATAATCTTTAAAACAAGAAGTATGGACTGTAGGGCAGTTATACAAATTATTTCTGTATATTTCTCAGATGTGGAAATGTTTAAACAATACATTTATATATCCTTTTGCTGAGAAATAAGCCAAACTGAGATGACTGAGTATATTCCAGAAAAAAAGTATCACAGTCATTTCTTCATTTCATCCTTCAAACTTGAAAGTGTTCATTGTTATGGATGCTATCAATTTTAATAGTTCTAAAGAACTATTGGCAAAGAACTGTACGAAATGTCACAAATAACAAACCCTGTTGGATTTATCATTTCAATAATGTCGATACTGATATCACACAGTTTTTGTTAACACAGTACACTGTGAATATAACCTTACATGTTGATGCAAGGTTTTGCAAGCCTTGTACACCTTCCTTTTTATCTACACAAGGCCAAACCCATGCACAGGCTTTAGTTACTGGAATCCAGGTATAAAAGCTGACAGTGGTCATTCGCAAACAAATAAAAAGAACAAAAATGGCTTGCTTAAGAAGCTATCAGAGAGAAAATTGACAACTGTACCAAATCACCAGAGAAGTCTTTGGAATGCTATTTTTAAAAACAAAAGTTTTTAATTGTAAGTTAGCTTAAAAATAGATTTAAACAGCTTTCCCACAAAAACTCCATCATTTTTCCTCAAAACATCCATATTTAGATATATCCTGATCAATGTGAAATGAATAAAGGGGATGCTGGAGAAAAAGTGTCCAAGCCAAGCAGAAATCCAGCCTATGTATCTAGGCTACTTTTCCCACTTCTTTTGAAATTTAAAAACTCTACCTCAAATCTAAAGGCCTTCCTCCTGAGCTTTCAAGGAATGGAATGAAAAGGAAATGAAAATATTTTTATGAATTTCCTTAAATTAATCCATTTTAGCATCTAAGATAAACTTTTAGATGCTAAAATGAACTGCAAAAATATGTATTTATAGCAAATATAATTAAAGTTGAATGGTACTTGAGACACTTAATATCTGAACTGGATAATCAATAAGCAAAAGAAAATAATAAAGAACCTATGTCATTTGAAGTGTTGATTAGTCCTATTTGTTCTGATGGCAGAAATAAAGAAAATGGCAAAATATTTAGGTAATTCAATTTTATTAGAAATACAAACAAAATTGCAGAATTTCATTGTAGTCTAATGAATCATATACTATATAATAAAAGTTGTCAAACAAATGAATATCCTCAGTCCCTATAGTCTCAGATTAATTAATTATACTCTGCTTAACTGGGATTATAAGAAAAGAAAAATCATCTTACCTTTATTTCCCTGTCCTTTAGGTCTCTGTTAGCAATGAAATAAAATAACAATAGATGAATTAAATGTATAAAATAAGCCTTCATATTTTAAAACAGGTAAATACAAAGACGTAAGCATCTAATGAATTCTAAACAGGTTAGTTCGTGAAATATCGCAAGAACTACACACTTTAAAAGATAATAGTTTAATATTTAAACATAAAAGAAAAAGTACATTATTAGCAGCATAAGCAATAAGACATAAACATATTAGAACTTTATTTAAGTGCTAGATTTATCATTAAAGCATAGCTAAAAATTAACATTCCACTATAACATGATTATAAACACTCCACTGTATGTTATTCCTGTTTTCTCCTCTATCCCATTAAACTTAGTGACTTTGGAATTGTAATCATTTTCTTATATTGGTGAAGCAAAATAATCAATGCAGAAAAATCTATACTTGCCTAACTTTGGCCAATACTAAGGTATTTTAATTCAAATCTGAGATTGTTAATACTGACTCTGTTGTGCCTGGTTTTGATGTCTATTAAATTGGCTATTCATTACAGACCTCCACTATCAATTTTTTTTTTAAAGGTAATGTGTACACAGAGGGAGAGAGAAGTCCATTAAATGGTTGCAAGGAGCACAATGGGAAGAACAGCCCAAGAAGATAAAGATAAAAGGTAGAATGTTAAAAGCATATAAGAGTGAAAACAACAAAATTAGGAAAGGAAAAAAATAAGCAAACAAGAAAAAGTGTTATGAAAAACAGAGCACCGTTATTAAACAAAGCCATACTATCTACAAAAATAGCGATATCACCCTAAGGCGACAAATGAGCAAGAAAAATAAATGGGAGGGGGGGGGAGCAGAGAGAAGAAAAGAAGCGGGGCAACAAAAGGCCAGCAGATAATACTGTATAATGGAGAGCAAACGGCAACGACTATTAAGAATTCCTCAGAGCCACGTCCAACTACAGTCAGGGAGGGCAGAATATTTGGCCAGAGGCCAGGCCGAACAAGGAAAGGACCGGAGCTCGTAGATGTTAGGAGAGTAACGAATAAGCTGCCCTCCCGTGAACACAAGCAATGGAATCGTTGAGCCTCGGCAAGAAGGCCCCAGGCCGAGCGGCCTCCAGGCCTGCAGAAGGGGCGGTCCTGGGAGCAGGGGAGGAGTCCCACGGTCTCGGATGTAGCGGGCTCGGATCCCCGCTATGACCAACGGAAGGAAGGCGGGACGAGGGGATCCTCCACTCGGGAACCACGAAGCCGCAAGAAGGCGGTACCTGGTCGACGCTGGTGGCTGACATTCTTCACGGGGAGCCGCAATCCCCCTCACCCCGCTCCGCTTGGGCCTCCTCCTTCTCTCCCTCAGGTCGTCGTGGTCGCTGTTTTCCGCCTCCTCTACTCTCCCCTCCGCCGCTGGCTGATTGTCTCCGCAGCCCGGACCCTCCTGTCCTGGTCAGTGCCTCCCAAAGCCACCCGCCGGTCGCAGCACGACTTCCCACCTCTACTCCGGGCTCCGGGCTTTTCCACAATGGCGGACGCGCTCCGGCTCCTACTTCCGCTCCGCGGCACCCTGACCTTCCGTTCTTCCCCCCCCCCCCCCCCCCCCCCACTGCTGACGACGTTGCCGCCTGACCTTTCCCTTTCCTTTTCCGCTTCAAGTCACGTGAGGGGAAAAAAAAAGTAACAGGGAACGGATTTTCGCGCGTGCGTCAAAGGCGCGCTCGAGGTCCCGTATAGAGGAAGCGCCCCTTTAGGGGAAAATGGGCCGCTGGCGCAGGCGCAGGCGCAGGAAGAGCTGGCTGGACTGAGGAGGAAGTGAGGCTAGCGTTTGGGGTTTTGAGCCGTCTGCGAGGCTGGCAGGAGCTGGGCAGTTGCTTTTCGAAAGGAGGCTGTTGGGAAGAAGGGTCACCTGCGGCCTTCAGTTCTCCAGCCGCCTGTACGTACAGAACAAGGGCTCTTTTTCAGGGTGTGGTTGAAGGGTTGGAGCCGTACAGCTTCCTGGCCGGTGGGTTGGGGTGGGGGTGGGGGTCGCCTTTGAGAAAAGGGTGCGTGTTCGGGTTGGGGACGAACATTGTCCTGGTTGTGATTGTGACTCGTCTGGCTGTGGACTTCGAAGCGGCCTTTCAGGGCAAGGCCGAAGTGGGACAAAGAAGGTGGGGAAGGAAGGTGTGCCCTTGCTTTGTATTCCGAGCCTTTTCTGGCCCCTCTCCCATTGTTGAAAGGAGATCGGACGAAAGAACCTGGATGCGAGCGAGGTACGGACAACATGCCTACTGTAAGAACAGGAGAGCCCGCAGAGGCTTCTTCCCAAAACTGAGTCTGTGACAAAAGAGGCATTTGGACAGATTGACGATGGAGTTGGGATTAGGGCGGACAGCCAGGATCTTAAAAATAGGCTTTGTCTGGAGGGCCTCTAATTTAGGCTTAATGAAAGGGAGGTACTCGCTGTAGTTCAGGAGGGGCAGGAAGTGTTTAGGGAATATTTGCATATATACAGTCTTCACCTTCATCCTAGCATAATTAGTTATTCATAGATTAATGGAGAACTGAATTTCACGAGTCATTTATTTGGGGATTCATTTTTTATTGCTGAACTTTGACATAGCATGAAAAAAACAAGGTTGGCTTTGTTTCCATTTGCATTTTTAATCTTTTTTTCTGAGAATATCTGTCCCTGGCCCCCCTATACAAGTTTTATTTTCCTCCTTAAGCTCATCATTGCTTCGGTATATGTTAAATTTGTTTTGCTTTACTAGTTGTTATTTTAGAGCCGAAATCAGATGAACTGTTGGAGCGATTGAAGATGTTTTGGATTTTGGGAGGCAAACGTCTGTATTTATTAATTGATTATATATTTATATGGCCAGCCAGCTCCTCCCTGATCAACAACTAATCTCATCCTTTACTCTCATCAGCACTTTGTTTTTCCGAATTCTGTTTTTTTTTTTTCACTCATTTCTTCCTTTACCTCCACTCCCCCTTTCTTGTTTAGCACCAACATCTCCAGGCTTTCTACAGCTTAGAGAAGAGGACAGCTTTACTAAAGTATTTAGGAGAGAAGACTGGTTAATAGCTCTATTAATGTATTCTGAAATTACCAGATTGTTGCTATTTTATTTTTAAAATAATTATTTTTACTATTCCAGAACAACTAAGAAGAATGGGACACATCCTTTAAATTACTTTTTAAAATGGCCAGTAATTTTAAACACAGGAACCAGACATTTGAAATGGTAGAGAAGTTAAAAATTATCACAAAATAACTCCTAGTCTATGAATGTTCATTAGCGGGACAAAACAGTTTTAAAAAATCAATTTCCATATGTAAATGAAATAATTCCACTTTTTTCCATTTTGAGTGCTGCTTTGCCTACCGGAAATTCAGGTAGTCCTCAATTGACAACAATTTGTTTAGTGGCCATTCAGAATTATAAGTGTATTGAAAAGAGTGGCCGGTTTTCATACTTGCAACTGTTGCAGCATACCCACATCATGTGATCATAATTTGGATACTTGACAACTGGCATGTATTTATGATGGTTGCAGTGTCCCAGGGCCATGTGATTATTTTTTGTGACCTTCCGACAAGCAAAGTTAATGGGAAAGCCAGATTCAATTAAGAACGTGTTGCTAACTTAACAGCTGCAGTGATTCAATTTATTGTGGCAAGGAAGTGGTGAAACGGGGCAAAGCTAACTGTCTTGCTTTGGGCTCAGTTGTGATCTTAAGTTGAGGACTTCTTGTACTAAACAGAAAGGACAAGGTCAGATATATTAACCATCTAGACATAGAAGAATGCCAAATGCCATTCCAAGATAAAACCATGATCTTACATTTTCCAAGGTTACTGCACAGTAAATTGTTGACAGTATAATTAACTGGAAGCAGACTGATAAACTAGAAATGCTTTTTAATAATTTGCACCAAGTTTTTGAGGAAAATAGTCTGAAAGCTGGAACAAAATATACAACTAAATAATATATTGATGGGAGGGATAACCAATGGAAGAAATACATAGAATCACATTTTAATTATTCCAAAGAATAACTTTTAATGAATATACTCTCTCCCACCAAATTGAATGATTCTTTAGGTAGAAAAATAGTACTTAGACTTATATACTGCTACACAATGCTTTACAACCCTCTCTAAGCAGTTTACTGACTCAGCATATTACCTTCAACTGTCTGGATCCTCATTTTACTGACCTCAAAAGGCTGAGTCAGTCTTGAGAGCATGAGAATCAGTCAGCAGAATTAGTATTGCAGGCTGAGAATTAGCCTGCAGTATTGCATTCTAGCCACTGAACTCCACTTAAATACTAGCAATAGTAAAGGGGAAGGATCTTTAGGCAACACGTCTGCTGTTTTTATGCTGGTTTAAAAAACAAAATGACTGCTGTGCTGTTTTAGACCAAGAAAAAGCATACTTGCCCCAGGTGTTCCTGAGGATAGCTGCACAGATTTTAGATAACATTTTTCAGGATAAGACTATCCCTTGTGGCTTACTTTCTCATTTTGACCCGGAGTCTGCTATTAAGATAAAATGTTAAGTATAGCAGGCATAAAATACAAAGCAATAAATAGCTTAAGAGACATGCTAGCGAAGCAAAATCTCCATTAAAATAAACTAAAAGGAGTAGATCAATGGCTGCTGTCCTGAAGAATTTGCATATAGGGATATGAGAGCCAGTTTGATGTAGAGGTTAAGACATCAGAGACACAGTTCTAATTCTACACGAGGAACAAAGCAGTTGGATGATCTTGAGCCAGTCATTTTGTCTCATCCCTAGGAAGGAGACAATGGCAGACCACTTCTGAAAAACCTTGCCAAGAAAACTGAGGGACTTGTCTAGGCAGAATCTGAGAGTTGGATACAATGGAATAGAAGAAAAATAATATAACTATTATCAGTTATATATCTTATGTCACTGGCTCCGTTCTTGGGTAGCTTCAGAACTAATCGGTAAATAAGACTTTACGCTAGCTTTAAAATGTTTCTCAATTATCTCAAGAGAAAATTATTTCAATTAAGTTAAAGGTAGATGTTAGAATTTCTTATATAAGTAGGCTGAGAAAAATCACCTTTTTTACAAATGTTATGAATACCACAATACCTTTCTGCATTCACTACTGCAAACCAAGTTAACATAGATTGATTACAAGGAACACATACAGATTTATTAACTAACTTCAGCTAACCATATTAAATTTCACTCTCCCCCCCCCTCTTTTAAACCCTGGTAGGGTATGTGTTAAAGAAATGAAAATTTCCTACTATTCCTATTCATTGGAATTGGTTCATATATATTAATAGGATGATATAAAATTAAAACCAATGTAGATTATTGAAAGCAACAAAAAGGAGCCCCTAGCTCAGGGGTGTCAAACTCATGGTGTCATATCATGTGATGTATTGCAACTTTTTTCCCTCTTCCTAAACCGGGCTTGGGCATGGCCAGCATGTCATCAATGCATCCAGCTGTGAGTTTGACACCCCTGCCCTACCTCCAGTTTTTATAGTAAAGAATTTGGTTGAGGGAAAAATCACCATGGCTGAGATTAATTTTTTTTTAAGTCTATAGTAAATTATAGATATAAATTATTTATTTACTTGTTTAGTTAATTTATTAGCCCCTTCATTTGCCAAAGCAATTATTTCATTTCTATTGTATTTTGGTCTGTAGCCTAATAAACATTTTCTCCTGTTTTCAGTTTTCTCTCCCCCCCCCCCCCCCATGGATTTCTCTGGTCTATTTTGTTCTTCTCATCCCGCTACTCTCACATTCTAAGCAAGAGATCTAATTCTCAAGCAAGGTACCTTGCATGTTTAATTCTCCGTGACTAATTATCATCATGGCTAAATCTGCCTCCCTCATTTCTGGAGCTGTTCTATCCTTGTGTCTTCCAATATATTTCTATTTTAATTTTTATACTGTGCAAATAAGACATACCAGGAAGGGAAGACTTTTTAGCCTAAAAAATCCATGTAGGATTATAAAACCATAATCTACCCTCTTCTCCCACCTGATTCCTTCTGCAAACTGTTCCGGATATTTTGCCTATTGGTTAATGAAGACAACAAAATTGGATGTGGTGGTGGTGAAACATTATGGTATACTCAAATCAGGACACCACCATCTGGCAGTAACTGAAAACAGTCATAGAGATAGCAGATAAAGCAAATTAGTATTTGCTTCTGTTTCTGAGGCAGCTGTCTTACATTGTGAGTAGCTCACAATTGCCTTTTAAGGTGATTTTATTGTCACAAACAGAAAATGAAAGTATTCTTAGAGTAAAAAAATGTGCTGATATTTTAACAATAATAATTTAAATTTTTATATGGATTTGTTATTCCTATTGGATGCTATGCTGTTTTGTAAAATACAGCCATTAAAGTATCTTGGTTTTTTTAAACAGGTATGTTGTTTTTCTATGGATGGTTATATAATCATTTTGATAATAGTATTATTGAACCTATTTTTTGTTTGCCAGTTTAATGTTTAGTAGTTTTTTATTTCATATGCTCATGATAATAATGAATAGATGACAATTATACACTGCTCAAAAAAATAAAGGGAACACTTAAACAACACAATGTAACTCCAAGTCAATCACACTTCTGTGAAATCAAACTGTCCACTTAGATAGCAACACTGATTGACAATCAATTTCACATGCTATTGTGCAAATGGGATAGACAACAGGTGGAAAGCATAGGCAGTTAGCAAGACATCCCCAGTAAAGGAGTAGTTCTGCAGGTGGTGACCATAGACCACTTCTCAGTTCCTATGCTTTCGGGCTGATGGTTTGGTCACTCTTGAATGCTGGCGGTGCTTTCACTCTAGTGGTAGCATGAGACAGAGTCTACAACCCACACAAGTGGCTCAGGTAGTGCAGCTCATCCAGAATGGCACATCAATGCGAGCTGTGGCAAGAAGGTTTGCTGTGTCTGTCAGCGTAGTGTCCAGAGCATGGAGGCGCTACCAGGAGACAGGCCGGAACATCAGGAGACGTGGAAGAGGCTGTAGGAGGGCAACAACCCAGCATCAGGACCACCACCTCCACCTTTGTGCAAGGAGGGACAGGAGGAGCACTGCCAGAGCCCTGCAAAATGACCTCCAGCTGGCCACAAATGTGCATGTGGCTGCTCAAACGGTCAGAAACAGACTCCATTTGCCAGAGAACTCCAAGATTGGCAAATTTGCCATTGGCGCCTTGTGCTCTTCACAGATGAAAGCAGGTTCACACTGAGCACATGTGACAGACGTGACAGGGTCTGGAGATGCCGTGGAGAACGTTCTGCTGCCTGCAACATCCTCCAGCATGACCAGTTTGGCAGTGGGTCAGTAATGTTGTGGGGTGGCATTTCTTTAGGGGGCTTTACAGCCCTCCATGTGCTCACCAGAGGTACTGAGTGCCATTAGGTACTGAGATGAGGTCCTCAGACCCCTTGTGAGACCATATGTTGGTGCAGTTGGGCCTGGGTTCCTTCTATGCAAGAGGGCTGGAGTGTGTCAACAGTTCCTACAAGATGAAGGCATTGATGCTACGGACTGGCCCATCCATTCCCCAGACCTGAATCCAATTGAGCACATCTGGGACATCATGTCTCACTCCATCCACCAATGCCACATTGCACCACAGACTGTCCAGGAGTTGGGGGATTACTCCAGGTGTGGGAGGAGATCCCTCAGGAGACTATCCTCCACCTCATCAGGAGCATGCCCAGGCGTTGTAGGGAGGTCATACAGGCACATGGAGGCCACACACACTACTGAGCTTCATTTTGACTTGTTTTAAGGACATTACATCAAAGTTGGATCAGCCTGTAGTGTTTTTTTCCACTTTAATTTTGAGTGTAAGTCCAAATCCAGACCTCCGTGGGTTGCTCAATTTGATTTCTATTGATAATTTTTATGTGAGTTTGTTGTCAGCACATTCAACTATGTAATGAACAAAGTAATAAGAATATTTTATTCATTCAGATCTAGGATGTCTTATTTTTGTGTTCACTTTATTTTTTTGAGTAGTGTATATTCAAAATTGCCAATTTCTCTTCACACTGCAAATATTTCTAATGATCTCTATCAATAGTCTATCTCAATGGTTCTCAACCTGTGGTCTGTGGATTCCGGCTGGGGTACTGCAGTGTCATCACAGGGAATCCACAAAGGCTTAAAGAAATAATGTAAATCTTCAGTCTTGAGTTATTTAAAGGAAGAGTCCATGGTGAAGAAAAGGTTGACCACTGATCTATCTAGACCTGCATCATATTCTTTTCTAACTGCTGCAAAAATTGTATCCGATAGAGAATATGCCTCTACTTTCATTTTTCCTTTGGGACATCTGATGGATAAATCTGCTATCAAAGGAGAACTTACTGAAAATATACTTTAGTTTTGATCAATTAGTGTATAGAATTATAAAGATTATAAAGAATGTCCAGTTTCATGTGCCAGTTGTTATGTCATCTAGCTCAGCGTTCACCAACTGGTGGGCTGCGAGAAAATTTTGGTGGGCCACAGAGAAATCTCACCCCCAGAGCACCCCCGCAAAGCAATTAATCCAGGCTGCGCAGAAACACAAGGCTACACCACCCACATGGCCCATGGGAACCCTCCCTGCCCACTCATTCCTTACCAGGCAAACTTGCCTGCTAAGTTGCTATTTTTCCTTTTTCCAACCATCAGTTGTTCTGCTGTGCTGGGAGATTTAGATTAGCTAGGAAGCAGGAAATGGTTGCATTTCTTGCTTTCTAGCTAATCTTTAGATCTTGTCTCTGCTTTTAAGCACTGTCGAACCTCCCTTAGTACTGAAGGTTCTATTATTCAGTGCAGCCTCACAGCTAGCAAATTTTATGTGACAGACTGAGCTAGCCGATGGCAGATAGATATAGATCACTGAATGATTCTGGGAGCAACTTAATCTGCCTGCCTGCTTTGCCTGATTTTGGGCAAAAGTTGCTCTTTTTTTATAAAAAAAATATTTAAATAAATATAATATTTACATACAAGCCATGCCCAGCCAGTCACATGACCACCAAGCCACACCCACAAATTAGGCCATGCCCACAGAAGCGGTTAGTGGTCCCTGGGATTTAAAATTATGAGTTTGGTGATCCCTGAGGTCCAAAAGGTTGGCGACCCCTGATCTAGCTAATTGTCTTGCACTTCTTTAGTGGTGGGAATGCTGTATTTCCAAATCCAATGATCTATCAAATAAAGTCAACAAAAAAGTCCCAGTTTATTTTTCTTGATTGCTAAAGTAGATTTAGCTTAAGCAATGAAATAATATAAAAATGTTAAATTAGTCATCTGGTCTATTCATTATTTGGTCAGTAAGCTACAGGACATTCTGTTAATATTTATAAACAGTTAAACACTGTAGCCAACTCTACAGAAAGTTGAATTAATACTTTCATCTGAATCTGGTTTAATATACTGTAAAAAAGATTTCTTAATACCATAGTTTTGACAAGCAAATCAATTATTCAGAGGTGGTCCCCCCCTTCCCTGAATGAATTCAAATAAAAGGTGGACACATTGGGTTTCTTGTAATTTGCATTCTTGGACTGAACAATGTGTTGAACTGGGGTAACCTTATTCCAGTTTTGTAATTCTAGTCATCCTGTTTGGATTTGATGACTACATTTGAACTTTGAGCTTGAATTAGAGCCAGTAGTGTGGTGGTTAAGATCCAACTTTAGCCTTAAATACTCACTGGGTAACTTTGGTTCAGTCATTATCTCTCGGCTCAGCCTACGTCAGAAGTTTGTTATTGTGGGGAAAAATGGGGGAGGGCATGCAATACACAGTATCTTTGCTCCTGGTCAAAAGGTGTAATTCAGATACAACAAAAATAAAATTGATGACAATTATCCAAAGAAAATCAGTGTTGTTTAAAAAGAATTTGCATAGTAGTGTGGTTAGCACTCTTCCTTGTTCTGTGGTTCATCAGTTGGAAGCACATGCGGTGGACTTTTATTTTCATGTGTTTTACTCATATGTTTTTTTTTTACTCCTAGACTACTTGTTTATTTGGAAGTTTGGTTTTCCCTGCCTATAGCCAACCATGAGCCCAGCTGATGCCAAGCGCTGTGGGACCAAGCGTCGGAAAAATAAAAAAGGAGGTGGCCTTAGCCCATCAAACCTAGCTGGAGTCTTTGAGGTCAAATCTATAGGACCATCTTCCAATATTGCCCCTTCCTGCTCCTCTTGCTCCTCCTCAACCCCATCTACTTCTACCGTAGCCTTCCTGCAGTCTCCCAGTACCAACACAGCTTCTTCTAGCACTGAAAATGGGCTTCTGGCAGTAGCTGCCACAGCTCCCAACTTGATTCCTAGTGAAAGAATAAAGAAGGCCGAGTTTCAGAAAAAGCGCTGTGGAGGAACAATTAATTCTAGACAAACTTGTAAAAGAAACACAGTTAGTAACACAGGTCCTGAAACAACTTCCCAAGAACCAATTGACGTTGAAGTTAACACATGTGAAGAAGTAGTTGACCTGACTTGTGAATCTTCAGAACCAGTAGTAGTTGATCTGACACACAATGATTCGGTTGTGATCGTTGAAGAAAATGTTTGTCAACCACAAAATCAAGAATTTAGAAATCAGCTCCCTGACAGCTGTATATTAAGCAGTGATGATGATGAACCAAGAGATGAAGTGATTTTAACTAGTACACTAACTAAAGAATTGGAATTATTAGAAGATGATATTCCAAGTTCACACCGTTCAGGTACTGTGAGTTGCCCAATTTGCATGGATGGTTATTCAGAGATTATTCGGAGTGGACGGCTCATTGTATCAACGAAATGTGGTCATGTCTTCTGTAGCCAGTGTCTCCGGGATTCTCTAAGAAATTCTAATTCTTGTCCAACTTGTAGGAAGAAACTTGGTTACAAACAGTATCATCCAATTTATATATGAAACTTAGATCCTTCTATAAAGAATCTAAACTGTACTCTTCTGAATGCTTCATATATCTATATTTTCAGCAACAATAGAATACTATTTCCCAGATGCAACAGTTAATGTGCAGACCATTATGGACTTTTATTAGCTTTTTTAAAAAAGGTTAATTGTATGAAGTATAGTCCACCAAAGTATGTAGATGTTTGAAGGACAGTTAGCTACAATGAAAGCAAAATGGTATTGCTATGCTCTTTTTGAAAAATGACACCTCTTCAAGTTAACATTTTTTTACTTCAAGTGACAGGATGAAAATCTGTTTAATTTGCCGAAGATACAAGTCATGCTTATGATATTGTAGGTCTACAGCCTACATTTTTCTTTCTGCATTTCATTCTCAAAAAAATTGAACCCATGTTTGTTTCCTGATTAAATTCTACCTTTTGCGTGAACTTCTTCATTTCCAAGGTGACTATATTTTGTAGCCAAGGTGCACCACATTTCTAACATTAAATGTTTACATTTTTATTTGGAGGCAAGTACTGGAAGACAGTAGTAAGACCATAACTAGAAAATCTTTGACTCTAAGGTATAATCATAAAGAAAGATTTCCTCCATGCACCTAACTTAACAGAAGAATAAATTGAAACCTACTTCATCACCATCACAGAACAAGGCAAAAAGAAATGTGAGTTCTGGCGTAAGAAGCTTATAGTTCAAATATTTGACAGAGTGAAGATAATGAATGCTGTCTTTCAGTAAATACATTTTCATATTGTATTGAAGTCCTAATGGTTCTTTCAATTCTCTTCATATAGTCATAAAGTGCAGACAACATTTTTAATCCCTATACTGTCATTATTGAACTAAATATGTGCATTTTGAAAATACTAAGCCTTTATTAACCTGGTTCCCATTAACAAATAATTAGAATGATATAGCATGAAAAATGCAACAGTAAGTTATTAAGAATTTTAGTTTGGAGTTTCATATTTTTGCTGTATGCTACACTGATGAAAATAGTAGAACATATAGTTTCTGCATAGGTAGAAGGAAGTGAGCCATGCAGTTTGGATAGATTACTATATTACTGATGTTTGCTTATTGTATAATGAAGGGTTTCTTAGCAGCTACCTTCTAAATGAAAGTTATATTTACAAATTATTACAAATAAACAGCATAGAAACAATCTATCTCAGTATTAGGAATTTCAATATACAATTGAATATTTTTCCATTTTTAAATGTTAAAAATGATATGGATTTCCCTATCTGTTTATATTAGGGCAGTAAAAATTAGAGACGTGTATAAATCAGAAAGAATATTTTGTTTCCAACACAGAATTAAACCATTTCATTTTGGAGGTTGCGGCAAACTTTCTTAGGTCCTTCATAGTTCAGCTTTAGCTTTATTTATTCTAGGTTTTGGATTAATCCTGAATAGGGTAAGATTAGTACATATCGCCCCTTTCTCTGTTTCTACACTGCAGCTCCCAGTAAAGAATAAATAAAAGTCTGTATTTTCCCCCCTCTCAGCAGCTTTATTGATATTGATAGAATGACATGCTCTAATGTTCTGTTTCCCCCTTCCCTCCTTCCTTTCAGTCACCACTGCTGATGATCCAGCAAACGTTGCTGACCTGTGCCCTAAACTTCCTGGCACCTTCTTTCACTATTTTCTCTCAGCTACTGATATTCAATCCTGAAATCACTTCTGCTTGAAATGGAGTAGCTCCATTTCTTTGGTATACAGCAAATAAAATGTGTGTCTCAGTTTAGAGACACATATTTTGGACCAACCATTTCAGAATGATTTACATAAAATATGAAACCTTATTGGGAATTTCCTTTGGGAGTTAAGAGGCCTGCTTATCCACGAGCAATTCCCACATGCTTAGAGGTTGCTATATAATCAACTGAATCCATGTAATTGGCTCATATTAGATGCAATAAGAGCTATTTGCTGAAACTTAATATAAAAATAAGTTTTTATATTAGTCGGATCCAGTTTTACTTGTAAAAAATTTCACTATCCTAGGAGCACTTTTTAAAGTTTCCTTTATTTCAGCTCACATATTGGTGAATCTAGAATGCTAATTAAAAATCTAGACCCTTTAAGAAAGCTAGGTTGAATTCTACCCATTGCTTTTAAACAGCAGGTTCCTTTTGATTAAATATGTTACAATCAGAATTCAAACCAATTAATCTAGTCTAACAAAAAAGCAGTACAATTTGTTAATTGTTATTCTATTATAATTTGTCGTTCAAGTCTGCTTGGTCTAGAGTGATTTTTTTATTGCTAGCTTTTGAAAGTTCTAGTTAGCAAGCACATCAACTGTTGCAGTTGTTAAATAGGTTTGAACTATAATGTAATATTAGACAATTATTCAGTAGTTCATACATGAGCCTCAGAGAATGTGTTATTTCTTTCTCAATTAAAATCTATATTGAAGGCTTTCGCTTCTATTGTTTTCCCAAAATCAGTCTTTTTGCTAGGGAAGGGAAAGTGCAAAAAAATGGTTAAACATAATTAACATTATAGCCTATGCTTTTTAGCATTTTCAAAATAAAAGCTAAACACCATTCTGAATTTGTTTTCAAGTAATCATGTAATCATTGATTCATGATTCATGTAATCATTGATTTATACAAATATGCATAATTTTAAAAAATGGCAAATACCTGAATTCCCTTTCATCTCTAAATATTAGAATCCATACTTTTTATTTATTTATATGTATCTATATCATGTTTGTGTTAGCATATTAGACAAATTTTATTATAGATAAAAGTAAAGCTTTTTACATACTTGACTCGTTCACACATTTATTATGCAAGAACATATATAGGGAGAATCTGAATATTTAATGAAACAGGTGCTATTTATTTAAAAAAATGGTAAGAATGCTGTCATGTAATCAATTATTGTACTGAGCACCATAATTTGAATAAATGCACACCACAAAAAGAGTCTTGGCTGATTGAGGAATACATTTTAATAAGAACTCGGCCAGTTTCTTTGACAGGACTTTAGACAAGGTTTAATTTTCAAAGATACAAATCAAGAAATAAAGACTTCTTTGTACATGATGACTATAAATTAAATAAGCAAAATTCAAAAACAGTAAAATAAGGTACCACATCAAACTACATCAGAAGGGCAGGTGTTTGAATATATTAAGTTTTCAGCTGAGAAGATTATAAATGTTTAAAAATCACTGTAATAAGTGTTTGGTCACTTTCACAATTCCAAGAAGTTGCTAAACCTGGTTATAATATATAGAATAATGGATCAGCATAAAAAAATGGATTATGACAAGTTCATGCACACCTGACTGTTGCAGCATCCCCAAGGTCATCTGGGTGCATGGTTACCAGCATGTATTTCTGATGGTTGCCACTTGTGACTTTTCCAAACAGCTTTCAGTAAGCAAAATCAATGGGGAAAGTCGACTACAACAAAAAGTTATAAATTGGGCACAGTCACATGATGCCTCATTTAACTTTAGTATTGGGAGTTGAGATCCTAATTGTGATTGTAAATTAAAGACCATCTGTATTTATTATTCAAGCGTGTTCACTGCAAAGGTTACTTGATATAAAGCAATTCTGTATGAGTGTAAACACGCAACCCCACTGAATTCTGGAGTTTTCTCCCATCTAGATACAAGCTATTTAGCCAGGAGCATCCTTCCTCATGTCACCATAGCTGTCTGTTGGATCACACCATTGATTCAGTATCCATGCAGTACAAGCTGGGGATTGAAAGTGCATAACTACTAAAAGACTTTCTTTTTAAAAAAAGTTCAAGTTTTATTCAATTTCTACTCAATCTATCATAACTTATAAATCAAGGATATGGGCAAGTGCCATCTGAAATATAATTGTTTATTTAATGGTCCACCCTTTAGTTTTCCCCAATTTGGTATTGTCCAGATAATACAAATGTCATGTAAAGCACACTAAGTGATGGTAATCCCAGCACTCCGCATTTCCACTGTTAAGTGAATTTCAGTAGTTATTAGTAATTTCTCTTACTTATAGATCGCTTCATTGTTCTTTTCAGTCTCTAAGCGGTTTACAGACTCAACAAATTGCCCCCCCAAACAATCTGGGTCCTCATTTTACCAACCTCAGAAGGATCGAAGTCTGAGTCAACCTTGAGCCAGTCAGAATCAAGCTACTGGCAGTGAATTAGCCTGCAATATTGCATTTTAAACACACTGCAACTATGACTCCATTAGCCAATGAATATCTTGGCAACAGAGTAAAATAGGGTGTAACTCAAGCTTAGCATCTAAAGTTCCAGTTCCAGTTATGGTCATAAGGCAAGGACTCCCTATAAAGATTACAAAGGGTAGCATTTAAATTGCACTAATTCAGAATGAAGGAAAAAAATTAACAATATATTAAAAGATACTTCTTAAGTCATTTGGAAGTTAAGATTGTCTATAGACTGTTTCAAAAATGTTATGAAAGAGGAACAAGATCGGACTCATTTGAAAGGTTACAAGAATGATACAGAAAAAGTAGCTACACTGGACATACAAATGGAACTAATTGATAGCTTAATTAAAAGGGCAATACAAATGATAAACCAAGAAAGACTTCAATAATTTTGCTATTTTCGATTTACAAAAAAGACTTGTTAAAGCTTTGAATAATTTTGTGAGAAAGGACAAAGAATTGTAAAGAATTCTAGGTAGTTATATGAAAGGACTAAAAACAAGGTTGTTATAAATAAAAGGAATATAAAATTGGCCTTCTCCCCAATATTCAGCCAGACCATTAAAATTGGTGGGTTTTCAGGCAATTGTTACATCTTAAAAATAGTGGAGTTTGGTGTGAAAACTAGAACTTAATCCCTGGTATTCTGGTGCATGCATGCAGTTTTGCCAAGTAAATATTTTACCCCCTACTTTCTGAAATAGTTGCTACCTTCTTCTGTCATCCCTTCTATAAACATTGAGTATTGGGGAAAGGGCTAATAACCAAGTTCAGAATGCATGAATTGCTATAAATTGTGTTTTGCTTGGTTTTGAGTGCAAAATTTCATAAATTATCATGACTTCATATTTGTAAACCCAACCTTAGATTAGAATGGGCTATAGTTAAAATACTTTTTTCAGTTAAGCAAACAAATGAACCTATATTTACCAACATTACCAATCTAGTTAAAAATTTCCAGAAGAGATCCAATCAACATGTTCTTTTGACAATGCTCATAGGAATGAACATACTTGCTGTTTTTTCTCTGCTGCTGTTTTTTTTACAACAGAATATGCACATTAATATACTGTACAATACTATCTTTAAAACAAAAACCAGTATTCTTTATGTTATCATTTTCTTCCAGGTTCTGTTAATATCTATATTGTCAACATGGTGCAGCTTATACAACAACAACAACAAAAAACCCTGAGTGTTGCAAAAAAAAAATTGCGTATGATCCTTAAGGTTATAGAGTAGACTAAGGACTGCCAAATTCAGCACATAGTCCTAGAGTAGCAGAAAATATACAGATATAGGGATTTTTTTAAAAAAAAATAACAAACAGCCGTGCAATCCATTTGAATTTTTATTTGTTCTCTCCTTATAAATGGTGGTTCAGTTTTTCAGAGAGTCAGGCATTTCATAAGACCTTTATTATAAGCTATTATTGCATTGAAATCCCCACCTATTAATATACATGTACCTGGAAACGTAATGAAGAGCGAGAAAGATATCAACCTAGTTTCAAGTCTGGGTGACCTGTGATGGAATTGCATATATATAGAAAGTCTACTTGTTTCAGGGCCTAACCAGATACTTTCCAAGTGAGAGCAGAAAGATCGTTAACAGGATGTAGTTTCAATTTGCTAGCTTTCTTGGATGCTAAATAATTGTTCAGAAGGAAAAAAACACTTGGCTTGAAGAAATTGGTGAAGGGGACGAGACTTTAGGCTCCCTTTTGCCAATTTAGGTGGGTGGTGTCCTGAAGCTGGAGTAATTCCATATAAGTTTCATGGATAGAGCAAATAAGGGGTCAGAGTTCAGAGAGCTGACCATGTTCAGTGGTCCTATGGAAAGAATTATCTTGCAAGGAGGAATATCAAATTATAAAGGGGCAGTCATTGGATGAATAAAATCTAGATTTATTCAGGGGGAGGTCAGTGGGAATGGACCTGCACTTTGATTAGTCAGTTCTTGAGAATCCGGTTGTAAGGGCTTGTCGCCTGTGAACTGATCATCTAGAAGGTTATAAAAAGATTGCATTACATTGAACTGATTGATTTGTCTAAATAAATTTACATTGGAAAACCTTATATTTTGTTACTGTTTTGGAGGCTGTTAAGCACTCAGAAAATGTAGCATTTCAACAGGAGGACAACTGGAGGGCAGTGATGACATGTTGAGAGACAACTCAGTGGCAGCAGTCATGGACCACAGCATTGATTTAACTGTTTTGAGTTTGTGTACAATTGTTCGTTCCAAACAACTGAGCTAGTTCTTCATAGGTTGACTGATGTATCTTCCCCTTAATTAAATTGAGGGTGTTGTATCTCCTGTGCTTATCTGGGCCTGAATTTGGAGTTGGTGGAGCTGCGGTGTGGGAAATTGCTGGCTGAGATTATGAACTCTGGGACTTATGCCATCCTCCCTTGCAGGCTTGGCTCTCCTCCCAGAATTTAGCAGAGCTTGTGCATTGCTATTGTGAAACACACATAGAAGCACACATAGAATTTGAAAACCCTTATAAAGTATTTTTTAAGTTGAAAAAATATTGAGGGCAGTGCATAATGCCTAAAAGCCAATATTCTTTCGTGTCCCTGGGAAGCTGGGGATTGACATTAACTAATATTCTGCACTGAAGACTTAGGAGTGTAGTACCTTGCCTCTTGTGCCACCTACTGTTCTGACCAAGGTATCCTGAGACAGTAACAATCACACACTCTTCCCCAAAACCTTTTTTTTTTACTTATTTCAACAGCTGTGAATTATATCCATTCACATCCCACAATGAGTCCCAAACTGTTTTTGAATAGTCCAATAGACGTCTGCCACAGTCTTTCGGGATAAGGCTGATAAGCATCTATCCATATGTCCTATGAAATGCTGCCAACGACTAAATTGCCAATTAACTGTACAAGGCCAAACGGAGCACAAAGTCAACACAAAGCTTCAGATTTTAAACCGAAAAAAGAACAAAGTTGCTTCCTGCAAAGGCTCATGTCCCTTTGCTCTTCCTTTATGTCTTATGGGAGGGGCCAATCATCTCTAAGCCCCTTATGTCTTAACTGTTTTTGCCTTCTGGCAAGTCTGCGCAAGTGCGCACTGGGAACAGGTCCCCCTGTTCCTCTGCCTTCACTGATGTCAAATTCTGGAGGCTCTGGAGTCAGCACATAACTCTCAGATGGCCCTGGCCCCATCTCTGTGTCAGATGCAGATCCCTCATCCGAGCCCTCCCCAGACTCCAGAACTGGCCCATTTTCCTCCTCATTGTCCAACTTTGCTACCAGCTCCGCAGGCCGCTGGCAGTCCACAACACCTACCTCCATTAAGAGGATTGATAGCAGCCTGGAACAGAATCCTGTGTCCCTGAACAAATACCTCATCCCTGACAATTTTCATACATGTAGAACAGGGGTCTTCAAACTTGACAGCTTTAAGACTTGTGGACTTCAAGAATTCCTCCTCCAGTCATGTTAGCTCAGAATTTTGGGAGTTGAAGTCCACAAGTCTTTAATTTGCCAAGTTTGAAGACCCTTGATGTACAGTCTTGTGCTTTTTGAGTAAGTTCAGCAAGTGGGTTTGTGGCTGAATCTTCAACAAGTTTGGTTCTATACTTTTCATTATAATCTTAAATTCATTTATTTTCTGATTGGTATGTAGCAGCTGATTGAAAATTCAAATCCAGGTAATCCTCAAGTTAACAATCATTTGATTTATTGACCAAAGTTATGACAATGTTGAAAAAGTGACTTACCACTGGCCCTTGCACTTACGACTATTGCAGTGTCGCCCCAGTCATGTGGAGCGACTGACATGAATTTAAAACCATTTTAGTGTCCTGGGGTCACGCAGTTGCCATTTGCTCCCTTCCTAGGGGACTTCTGACAAGCAAAATCCATGGGAAAAGCCATATGCATTTAAAAACTCCATGAATCACTTAACAACCCAGATTTTTTTTAAAAAGTCATAAAATTGGGTGTGACTTCCTTAATAACTTAGACGTTCCAGTTCCACTTGTAGTCATAAGTTGAGGGCTATCTGTAAACTTTGCAACTGTTCTTAGCAATCAAGTCTTACAGTCACATTCAAATTACTTGTGGTTTTCAAAGTGTCCTCCCATCTAACTCCTACAGAAGAAAAATCATCTCCTAATCAAATAGGGTATAGGATTTATTAGCAATGATTGTGAGGGCAGAGAGGAAGGACAAGAGAAATTACATACTGTGTCCTTATGCTGGAACAAATAGTTCAGATTTAGCTGTCTGGAACCTTAGTGTTCAGAATGCTTGGAACTTTCTCTTTGCATCATTTTAAACTTGTCCTTCCTTTGGTCTTTCCCTCTGAATTCTTTTTCATTACTTTCCTGTAGCCATCTCTGCCTCATATCAGCAGGTGTCTAAAGCTATTGAATTCTAGACTATAAAGCATGAACTAATCTGAATTCTAAAGTTCTTAAATTACTAATCCCAATATAGGAACTAAAACTGCAAATTGATGTAAATAAAACAAGTAAGCTATTTTAAAACTAAAAGAGTACTGAAATAGAAAAATTAAAAGGTCACCAAAAGCTGTCATTCTATGGCTATGTTGCTCTGCCCACCATCCTTCCAAAGGTAGGATCAGATACATGTTTTCCAATGTGAAAGCTTTTTATTCTGGGGCTTCATTGCTTTTACCATCTAAACACATAATGAAAAGAACATATGTGGAAATGCTTGAGCATTAATTTGGATTTTCTAATAAGAATTCCTCAAGTGTTATTTGGAAAGCTTATTTGGAGAGCCAATAGCATGGGTTATACATATAGGTTGTGGTTATTAAACTGCTGGAAAGAAAGTAGGAACTATATTATAACAAGACTTTGTGTACAGAGACATCCATCGAATGAATGTATAGGATTGAAAGAGATCATCTGGGTTGACCCCCCTGGCAGTTCACAAATACATTTTTCTTATTTTGCCTTATAGTATCAGACTGTGATTCTGACCTTATCAAAAACAAAGACCATGAAAATCTGCATTATTTGCAAATATGCACCTATTTTTTTTGCTTGGAAATATATGTGTTGGAAGAGTGGCACATTTCTGGGCTTCACTAAATTGTACTAAGCCAAAAGATGATCCTGGTTTGGGTGGCTTAGTCTGTTAAATCAGAGTTCTCTCACACATATTTTTTCTCCCCTGCTCTAAACATAGGACTTCATTGTTTTATGGTAGGTGGTAGGAGAAAAACAGGAGCACCCCGCCAAAAAACTGCCTTGATATAAGTCAGGTTCCAAGATTGTCACAGGATCTGATACAGCAAGAAGAAGAATTAAATCTTGATACCTCAACAATAATTAAGCCACGAGTCCCACTCAAAGAGATCTTAAATATAAGATAGACATAAAGAAGCCGATAACAGCTTAAGCCAAAATTAAACATTCTTGCATTCTAGCTTTGTTCCCCTAGATAGCATTTAGTGAATCCAGCCGAATACCGAAGACTTCTGTAACACGGGGAGAGCGACTTTACGCTGCCTTAATCTGTTTAACTACTCGGAGAAAAGTTGACTAAGAAGCTGGCTTCGGTTTCCGCGCCCATCCTAGCTGTGGCTTGGGGGATCGCCGGCAGCCGGGCTCGACCGTCCCAACTGAGCTTCCCCACCCCCGTGTTATTCGGGTTACTCAGGGTGCTCCTCCCGAGCCGTCTTTCTTGCTCGGGCGGTTGGTAGGGGAGTAACGGAGCGTGGATCGTCCTTAACGCTGCCATTATTATTTGCCATGGGGAGGAGCGTCGACGATCCCTATTTTCGCAATGGACCTGAGAGCGCTTTTTTGGCAGTGCCAGTTGTCACGGGCTCTCCTTTCCCTTCGCCTCTTCTCCCAGTAGTTATTAGGGCCGCGCCATGGACCAAGACCCGCCGAATTCCCCGCCGGTGAACTTCAACGAGCTGCCAGACGACTCGCCCCACGTGAGGGCCGCTATTGCAGCGCTGAGGTGCAGAGCTGTAGAAGAGAACCTAGAGGTCCGCCAGTCTGACCTTTCTGACGCCCGTCTGATCCAATTTTTGCGGTGTCGAGACTTCGACAGCAACCTGGCCTGGAAGGTAAAGGGATCCCGGTCCCCAGCAGAAGAACAGGAACACGAGCGCCCTCCCTCCCTGCTTCCTCCCCTCCTAGCTCAAGACTGGCGCGCGGGTTTCTTCAGGTAACTTTGCTTTGCTGTCTGGCTCGGACTCTTCCTTCTCCCCATCCTCTCACAGGGCCTTCCATGCTAAAGTGCTGGAAGGTCACCAGCTTATAGACCTTCTAATTTCCTTCTTTATCCTCGGCTACCTTCGAGGCCGAGTGTCTACACCTCCTTCACTTGAAACCAGGAAGGCAAACTCTTCTCTTTCCCGAAACTTCCACGAATTGGAATGCGGGGATTCTGTAATTGTTTAATCATTCGGTGAACGAGCTCAGGAGGTGGCCACACCTGGTTGAAGCTAAGCAAGGCCCCGACTGATTTATTACTTCAATGGGAGACTGCAGGGGAAATGCCGTTAGGAAACAGATTGGGAAGTTGAAGCCCGTCAGAAAAAGACAGTGGCAAAAGGACAACAATGGCAAAACACACCTCACCTAACCAGGAGTTAAGCTCTGCCTGGTTTTTGCTTCATAATGGTTACCCTTCATCTTTTTCAAATTGCTCTTTCCTTTTGACAGAATATTGAATTGCAAAATCTTGGATGCCCAGAAACCCATTATTGTTGAACCAAAAGTGCTTTTTCAAGAGGCAACTGGACTTTCTGGTTTTTCGTTGAAGACGTTTTGCTTCTCATCCAAGAAGCTTCTTCAGTTCTGATGGGATGGTGGGGAATGGAAGGATTTATATTCCTTGCAGACAGTTGGTCATTTTACATTCTTTTGCATTCCCCATCATCCAGTCAGAACTGAAGAAGCTTTTTGGAAGAGAAGCAAAATATCTTCAAAGAAAAAACAGAAAGTCCAGTTGCCTCTTGAAAAAAAAGCACCTTTGGGACAACCAGGACTGGATGATGGAGAATCTCCATAGACATTATTATTGAACTGTTGTCAAACTGTTATTGAACTCTTAATCTTTAGCCCTTGAGGATATACCAGGTCATGAGCTATTTACTGCAGGGATTCCAGGAATGCTAGTTTATTTTACAGGACACATTAAGAGAACTTTGAAAGGCTTTCCAAAACTTTCATTGCCCTCCTTTTTAAGGATAGCATTGTTGAAGTCAGGAACGTTTTAAAGCCTCTTTTTCATGTTTTCTGCTCTCCCAGTACTTAGCAACCATTTAACTTCTTCACTTCTTTCTCAATAACCAGAGCTGAATTCCTCTATACAAGATTGTGGTGGCTTTTGTATCAGTTGGAAGCCATTCTTCACTTGTGGGTACCAATCATTGTTTTTCCAGTTCAGATTTCTTTAAGCATATCTCTGCTTTTTTAAAGCATCACTCATCCAGAAGGATTTAGTTTGTTTTTCTTCTAGCTTTTTATGTTGTTAAAAACAGCTTATGTTGTTAAAGACTTCTATCGCCTTTGTACCTCAGAGCAATAAGGAACACAGAAAAGACAATAAAAAGCTGAAAGAAGAATTTAAAAATCTGGACACACAATTAGTCAAGGCACTGAGCAATCTCTCAGCTCCTGTATACTATACTATACTATACTATACTATACTATACTATACTATACTATACTATACTATACTATACTATACTATAGTATACAGTATACTATATAGTATACTATATACTATATACTGTATACTATAATTATGCAAATAGTGATAGGGTTCATGTTTTCATCCAGTGCATGTTTTCCCTATTTGCCTGTTTTTATTTCTTCTGCTTTTGTTTTCCTGTGTTATCTTAATTCAAAGTGCAATGTTGAGTTTGCACAAACCAGACATTATACCCAGCTAGATTACCATATTTCAAAGAAATAGAAATAAATCTACAACACACAAATACAAATTCCTATTTTCATAACAGTTGTGGGAAAGCAGACACAAGAGAAGAGGGAATAAGGAAAGACAAATATTCTGTTTCCAAAACCTTTGTTTTGTTTATTGTTGCTACTTAGTTATACAGTTATTATTTAATATTCTGTCACTTCTCTGACCTTTTATATGTTTTTCAAAGTTTTGCTCTCATCTTTCATTTTCTTACTGCTGTTTCAAAAATAAAACTTTCTAACAATAGGCTTCAGAAACCTATAACAAAAATGTATTTGAAATCTGAAACTTCCTCAGAATGTTGGGAATTTTAAAATGTATATGAAGTGGACAATGACGTTGGAGGAATTTATTATATATATTTTTTATTGTGGATGTTTCTAGGATACAGTTTTGGCTCTGTTTGAGAAGAATTCTGTGTCAGATATATGAGGCAGTTCAAAATATTTTTATTTACCCCTTTAAAGCTTTAGTCCAAATACTATTCAACTTCACTATCTGAGTTTATTGTCATAATGTGAGCATGCGTGTAAATTTAATAAATAACCTTGGAATCCATTAACACAGTGATCCCAAACATTATCAGTGCCAGGCCTGGTTCCATAAAAGGTGGGTTTTCCATGGACTGAAGAATGTGCACTGCTTTAGGTCCCGCACCTGAGCAACTAGGGTTTTGCTCGCTTGCATGGTGTGGTTCCTGCAGGCTGTAGACCAGTGCTGATTTGTGGACCAGGGATTGTGGATGCATGCATTAACAGATAGTATGGAGCTTTGCACTATTAATTTGTGTTCCAACTCACCTTTTGCAAAATCTTCCTGTAACTTTCACTCAGATCAGATCAAACTGCAACTAATATTGCTACACAGGGCAACATTTATTTATATTGAGATTTCAATCCATGCTAAGCACCTATTTGGTTCAAGCCTAACTCATTTTGTTCGCTAAGAAATTTATGTGTATTGGCATTTTTATTACTATTTCTGGAACAGGCAATTTGTTGTTACTATTGCATCCAATAGCTTTCCCTGGCCTATTTGTAAAAGTGCAGAGACAGAAAATATACTGCAGTCTATGAAAGTGATATGCAGCTGTGCATATTGATTGTCAGTTTTAGCAATGATAATAGCTTATTTTTTATTAAAATCCAATCCTCACTCATTGTGCTTCATTCAAATGTTCCTTCTGATCTTTCCATACAGCTGTCATGAATATGCAATTGTTATGTCTCACCTGTATCCACAGGAGAGAATACAAAGTTCCAGAGTTCAAAATATTCAAGAACAAAACCACACTCAAAAGAGTTACCTGTACTGTTTTCCAGTCCTTGGCAGTCTTCCCGGAATCTGTCTGGCAATTCAGAATTGTTCATAAATCACAACGGCCGCTTCAAACATATCCTTTTGAATCCACAAAGCACTTTGTTCCAAGCAAAGATTGAGAGTCAACACGCCTCCTTAAATCTCCTGGATGGGCATGTCAATCTCTCTAATCAATGTCTGGCTTGACGCCGCCTTTCAGATTGTGATTGACATTTCAATCTTCTCCTAGTTCTAGCGTCAAGCCAACATCCGTCAGTGTCCTCCTCGCTAGAAACCTCTGGCTCATTTTGTGGATCAGCTGCTTGCATGAACGAAGTTGACGTTTCTGGAAAGGATTGTCTCTCTGACAATCTCTCATCCTCCTGCCTCACATCTGTGTCCTCTGATAATTCAGACAGCAGATAATTCACAGCAGGCTCAAACCTTCCATCTTCAGAGGTATCAGAGTCAAAACTCCCAGCAGGGTCAATCCTTCCAGTCACAACACTATCCCTCACCGCAGGGCCCTTCCCCCTAGTCTGACGATCAGGATGTGGTTTTGAAGGGAATTGTGCATGATATATCTGAATAAGGTCTGGGGCATGCACCTTGGACACATCCTGCCAAGAATGAATCTCCGTTTCATTTTCCAGTCTCCCCACGAAGTACTGGAATCGTCCCTTCAGCCATCGTGAATCATAAATTCCGACCACTGTAGTATCCGTAACAGGTTCAGTGCTGGGCCTAAATGGAGAACCCGTATCTTCTGGAGATGGAGAGTACACGATGGGGTGTCAGGTACTAACAGGGAGCGGTGAAAAACAGGGTGAATGTGCATGGAGCGCAGTAGGGTGAGCCGATAAGCCACAGGATTAATAACCACCTCAATAGGGAAGGAACCAATAAAGCGATGATCCAACTTCCTAATCGGACGATCGACCCAAAGATGTTTCATTGACAACCACACCTTGTCACCCACAGCCAATGGAGGCGTCGCTTGACGTGAACGATCTGCGAAACGCTTATAATCTGCTTTCGCTCGTTCCAATTGTCTGGAAATTAATTGATGCATGGCATATAACTCCGACAAAAAGTCTTGTGCCTCTAGAACTGGAGAATCTGCGATCGACAGGGGGAAAAACCCACATTTGTGTAAAAAGGCGTCATGTGGGTAGAGGTCTGCCAATGGAAGATAGCTCACCCAGTCATTTTGCCATTGATTTACAAAACATCTGAGGTATTGGGCGAGGATGTCAATTACTTTCTCAGTCCCACCATCAGTTTCCGGATGGTGCGCCGATGCTAAACATACTTGTACTCATAGTGCATTCACTAGACTTTTCCAGAATTGAGCGGTGAACTGAACACCGCGATCTGAAACAACTCTGTCTGGTAAGCCATGTAAATGGAACACGTGTTGTATGAAAAGCCGGGCAGTAACACAAGCCAAGGGTAATCTCCTACATGGGATGAAATGGGCCATCTTAGTGAGCATGTCAACCACCACAAGTACCATCGTATAACCTGACAATGAGGGCAAGTGCATTAAAAAGTCCATGGATATCGCCTCCCAGGGTCGGTTCAGAGTCGGAAGTGGTTGCAGAAGTCCAGGAGGCGCACCTGATGCAGCCTTCGCTTGTCGACACGTAATACAAGAGGCAACGTAAGAAAAGACGTCATGTCTGATTCGAGGCCACCAAAAAGTCTGTGTAACCAAGTGAAGAGTTTTAAAGAAGCCAAAGTGGCCAGCAGCAGGATTGTCATGACATTGAGTCATGATGAGGGCTCTAAGTGTTCTGGTGGGTACGTATAATAGTCCTCGATGATGTAGCA